TTTCCTTCCAATTATACCTAAACTGAAATTTACTTCAGTTTTTTTTTAAATCCCACCCCTCTTTCCACCGCCGGCCCTTTCATTGCTCCAATTAATTAATTTTCCATTAATGCCTTAATTGCATTCAATTGGAAATTCAAACCTCATGTATTTTCCCTCCCAAATCCCTTAGAATTGAAATTAATTTCAGTTCTCAAACAAAACCCTCCTCCTCTCACCCTTGCTCTACCGCCGGCCTCCCCATCCCCTCTCCAACCCGCCGCCCCTCTCTCCCTCCCATTGGAAAGCCTCTTGCGGCGACCACCCATTCTCACCTTCAAGAATGCATGGAGAAACCCGAGTGGAACTTCGGGTTTGAGTATGACAACCAAGGAAGAGTTGACATCCTCAAATCACCATTTTTCGACGTAGGCTTTGATTTCGATGACACAGTCGAAGAATATTTGGATCGGATTCTACCAACACTAGTGGATTCCATCGACGACCACTTTTCCGTCTACACGTGGATCATTAAAGGTCATCCGCCCGTTCCACCTCCACCTCCGCGCTCCTTCTCCACAACGACGTTCCTTGGCTCCTCCATCCTCGTGGCAACCTCACTACTAGCTTGGACGATCTTCCGCCGCTCAACCTTGTTTCGTAGGAAAGAGAGAAGAGGCCTCAAGGTGAACAACTCCGTATTAATCGTTGGATTCCATTCACTAGCTTTTAACTTTATGTTTTCCTTTGTATTTGCTTAAATAGTTTGGTTATCTCCTTGTAATTCCTTTGCCTAAATAAGTTAAACACTACGAATTCTTGTAACCAAATTTAATTTGAAACATGATTATATAATTTGGTTGAGCTATTGTTTAAATCTTCTTTTTAATCTTATGTAACTCAACTCTTGCATCACATCATATTCACTATGGTTGAGACAATATTTTTGTATTTAAATACAATAATAAAACGATCAAACTATTCCCTATCAAGTAAATAAGTAGATATGGAACACTAGCTTGTGCAATATAATCTTGAACTCAAACCTATCTCCAACCACAAGGAAAATGTATTCTTCTTGTTGATTGTAATTGACTCATATATGCTGATCCTCCTCTGTCATAGATACCCCTTATGATATGCCTTCCTTAGACATACATCCTGATGCCCATGGTCCCCTCCTACATCTTCCTTAGGTAGTTATCCTAATAACCATCGAAACCCATCTGCCTTAACCATTCATTTTGATGAGCACATATATTATGAGGAGCATGATAAATCTGTTTCCATGGCACACCCTTAGTGAGCCTATTGAAACTTGTATTCTCAAGAAGGTTGATGCGCTATTGCCTCCTCAGATAGACAGATACATATATATTGTGTGATCTCAAATTTTTAACATGCTTTATTTGACACATTCCTTAGTGAGCTGACTGATGAGTTATCATTCCTGTGAGACATACAATCTAACTGAGCTCTTACATTTAGATCATCATTGCCAGATCTACTATTTCACCTCACCAAATACTTTGAGTTGCGTAGTGACATTGACAATTTGTTTTTGAGACCTCTTGATCCAGCTCTATAAGATTATTCAATATATGATACGGTATTCTGTAGCACGTCATATTCATAGCCTTCTATCACCTATATTACAACATGTTGGTATAAATCTTGATAAATTTGTTGAAGCTATTTTTTAGAAGTATCCATCATGAGAATATAATTTTAGTGATTGTATTTTATTTTACTTTCAATCCCCTTGCTTTGCATCATAGGAACTTAGATTGACTTCTATTTTGTTAATTATGCTTCTTGACATATTTTCTACTTTTATTTTTATTGCACTTGATACTTGGCCATCTAAAATATTTATAGAACATTCAGATTTGCAGCCTAATCGACTTGTAGGAAACAAAAATTCATTCCTTATATAAGAAGTTTCTGACTGATCCAACTCTATAATATTATTATTGAATGAATATTGAACTTTGCTTGTGAGCAATATCCCTTTTTGATCCAAACAAATGGACATTGGTGAATTAAGATTTTATTTGTTTTGTCGGTTTTTTTAATCTTCCCCTCCATATTTTATTTTTCAAAACCCATCCACAATCTTATCTGCCTCTAGTATCTTCCCCACAAGCCTAAGAACATCCCAAATCTTTCTAAGACAGCCCACCGTAATCTCTCCCGCCTATAGAACAAAAACACTGAGCTCTACACCTCTCTTGTTCACTCTTTTTAAGCAACCTTCAAGCCTAGGGCTAGTGCTGCTTGTGAAATGAGGCATGATGTTTGAAATTCTTCCAAGGGAAAAGAAAAAGGATATGACAAGGGATGTGTACCTACTTTACACCTAGGTTTAGAACATTTTTTATATGAAAAGAATGAAATTGAGGAAGATTTTCTTGTAGGGGATGAAGATGATGATGATGATGATATCAATGAATATGATGAGGATTGAGGACTAAATCTAGTTTATCATACTTCTTTGTGAATTTGCAACTTAGTATTTCTTTGTTTTGGATGAACTACATCTAATTTATTATTTCCATACTTTGTTAGTTGATTGTTTGATAATGAGTGCCATTTACTCTTACCTGTTAGTTGAAGTGCAATTCATTCTTAGACTTTCTTAACTCTTGAATTGTTTATATATTCTACATTATATGCATTTTTTGTGCCATTCTAATTGTTCGCTACCATCTGGTCGCCACTCACCTTTCCTCATGCATTCAAGCAAACCTTTACTATTCTCATATTTTTTGTTGGTAGAAAATTGAAAAAAGTAGGGTGTACATAGTTTTGATCTCTGCTAACCTGACTCCATCTTAGTTCTTAATCTGCCCAATACTTCTATTTCTAGGTTTTTTCCTTGGCTATTAATGATGTACTGTTTTGGAGCATCCTGATTTGCATATCCTTTACTTGCTAATGATGCTTAGGAACAAGGATCTTGAGGACTGAAGCAAAAAAGTGAATAATAAGCTGACGACTCGTTCCTTTCATGCACACCAATTGCATTTTCTTCTTAGTAATGCTTTTCACATTTCTATGAAGGAAATAATGATTTTTTTCAAGCATTTCGATCTAGAAATGAATGTTGGTGTTGCCTCCTATTTTATTGAAATCATAAGAGTAGCAGCTCCAAATGCTTCATATGTTGACAATTTAAGGAATGATATTTTTGGACTGATTGTTGGAGATTTCAAGGATTTGAATGAGATGTCAATCTATTTATTTTCTAATAAAGTTTCAATACTTATTATAGTTGCCAAGGTTTGACCCATTGTTTTGATATTAGATCTTGAATGCGATGGTTTTATTTTTGACATGTTTCATAAATTTCTTTAGACAATTATGATCGAAGCAGTCAAATACTATTTTCCCCTCAGTGCACACTACCATGACACTTGTTTTAGCGGATATTGAAAATATTTTGACGAGGCTTCTTTCATATCTTTTGGATCATCTCAAAATTGACGAGGAGAATATTATCCCCAAACAATGAAGCTTATATGGTAAGTGCTAACAGATAGTGCCTTGATGCTAAAGTTTTATTTGACTTGGTTATTAATAAACATTTTTGAACCTCCAAGTGATGATAACAAAATTGTTGTTAATGTATGTCAGTGAGACCTTGGCACTCTAATGCAGAATGAAATAAATACTCCCGATGAAACTTAGGCAGATGACAAGAAGTTATCAGATTGAATTCTTTGTGATAAGTTGCCTCAGGGATCTACAAAATAAGAGCACATAGTTGTTTTGTCTGAAAAGGCTATTGCTAATGCAGATAGATCTACTAAATTAATTATCTATAATGAAAAAAAAAAAATCTATAATGATAATTTTTAGATGGGGGATGAAAATTCCATGACTTACAACAAAGTGTTAAATTTCCCAATTAATAATAAGTACCTACTACTTCCCATTTGATTGTCTTACTGCTCATATACAATGGCATAAGGCAAAAAGATATCCAAATTCCCCATCATCAATCAAGGCTAATATACGAGTTATTTATATCATTAACTTTTTTATTCATAATGTTGACTTTCTACTGCCACCTCAGTCAATCTCTTGTGGGATTCTAGCTCACATTCAGCTCCAAAATCTCCAGATTATTCATGGATTTTTCAGTACCTAATAATCCCATGATGTCTATCGATCACCTTCACAACCATTAGGCCATTATGTCTACATACTTTTTGATTTGCTTAAAGTTGTGCACAAAACAATTCCGCCTCCACCACCACTGTAGGTACCTTCCAGCTCTTAGGAAGAGTTTCTTTGAATTTAGGTGCATGGTGCAGAAGAAATATCGTTGTTAGGATTCGATTTCATATTATTTTATAAGCATGTGTGAATTTAATATTGATATTTTAAATATGTTAAATATCTCATATCTATGCAATTAGGGATAAATGATTCATTTCCTCAGTAGTTGATGCATTATTAGGAATGTATTGTAAGTCCTAAGGTTGATAAAAGATTTTGGTATTGTATTGAGGATTGCTTGATGGATTGAGCATTAATAAAATTTTGAGGTCTTTTATGTCAAAATCACCGGTGAATCTTCTTTATCTTCCCTTCTTGCATCTCTCTTCTTATTTCTTTTCTCAATTATGACATTAGTTCCACCCACTTCCAATCACTTCATTCAAAACAAATTGGTCCTAAACGTAGAAGAACGCCTAAGGTAATAAAAATTCGATTTTCATGAATAGGCAGAAGATGTTTTATGCATGCCACCTGATCAGGATCCTAATGTAAACAAAGAAGCTTAGTTTGTACAGATTATTGATTTTACAATTATCTTGTCATGGCTAGGAGAACTATCAATTAGACATACATTCTTGTGATTCTTTCTTAAGGTGCTTTGTTCTTAGAGTTTTCATCCTGCATAAATTTAAGTTTAGCATATTTTGTCAGCTCCCACTAACTGCTTATTTAATTATTTATATGGTTATTTTTTTTTTTCCATTTTCCTCATTTTGTATCTTGCCTGCTGCCAGGATTTCTTTGGAAAACCAGCGTTTTTGACCGTATCCGGCCAACTGAATGCCGAAACATATGCATCTGCCCTATCCGATGTACTACTTTATTTTTCGGGCAAACTTCTCTGTAATTTATTTTGGCTCAGTTTATATCAAGTCATAGAATGTGCTGATTGTTTCCAGGTTTACACATTTGGTCCTACCTTTAGGGCAGAAAACTCAAACACCTCAAGGCATTTGGCTGAATTTTGGGTAAAAATCTTTCACTAGTACAAAATACATTCTTTATATCACAGTTTTGTGACATTCATATGGCTTTGACTGGCATGAGCAGATGATTGAACCTGAACTTGCTTTTGCTGATTTGAATGATGACATGGCATGCGCCACTGCCTATCTCCAGTATGTAGTAGGTTTCTTGTTAACTATTTATTTTTTTCTGTCATGCATTGTATTGCTGTTATTTTCGAAGTGAGTGCTGTTTTTGGGAAGTGTTAGACCACGACAAGACGCACACATAAACTGCCATTAGGAAGTATAAGATTCATGGGCTTTATTTTTAGACGTTTTGGAGACTCAAAGATTGAAAAACTTAATAAGAGATATGATACATTATACCTGACAGGTTCAAATTTATAATGATGGTAGGAGAATTAACATTAGTGAAAAAAATCATGTATTGTACATTTATTAATTTTTATATAACTTCTTGAGCAAGGCTTCAAAGCATCTAAACATTATCATCAGTTAAGGTTTTTTTCTCCATCTTATTGAGTCTAGAATCTGAGAAATAATAAGTCATTATAAGTTTATCAAAAAAATCTCTACTTGTTAACGGGCGTGCAGCCACATTTAGCATATGAGAAGAATATGAGATAAATAGAAGTGTTGCCACAATGGATGCTTTCAAAACTCAGTATAGTTCAAGATCTGTGACCTCTTGTCGTGGGAGAGTATAATAAAGTAAATTAAAGTTGCATGAATATTATTTCCATAACTCTATATGACCAGTAATTTGGGAAATCTATGAGAATCACATAAATTGAGAATATCACTTTTTATTTATTTTTTGGAGAGTTGCAATGAGGAAAAATGAAGTGGAATAGCAAAGAAAGGTAGTTTAAAGCAAAGGCAGGCAAAGGACGCCATTGTACCTTTATGGAAAAAGATATGCTATACATTTTAGTTTTGAGGCATAACCTTTTTGACGCTTCCTACTATAGATGTATGTTGAAACCTGAAACCAAGAAAAGAAGATCTGCTATATGTGCCTTCACACTCACAATGTTGAAGCCCCCATGGGAGAGCTTTACTTCCACGCTATTAAAGCTAGTGATATCTCCCTTTCAGCAGGGCATATGATTACACTTAATATTTCTTTGGCAGGTAAAGTATGTCCTTGAGAACTGCAAAGAAGATATGGACTTTTTTGACACATGGATTGAGAAGGGAATTGTCAATAGATTAAGGGTATGCACCTGAACTTGTTATTGTTTCTGTTTTACCCTTTGTAAATTGTAATTCAATTGAAAGATAATATGGAGCATCCTTTGCAAAAATTTTGGCCTTATTTCATGATCATTTCCTGTTCTTTTAATTGTATTTGAAAAAAAAAATTACACTCCACGTTCACAAGTAACAGAATATTAGTTTTTCGCAGGATATAGTGGAAAAAGATTTCATTCAGTTGACTTATACCGATGCCGTTGAACTTCTCCTTAAAGCAGAAAGGAAATTTGAATTCCCTGTGAGGCATCTTTCCAACAGATTATTATGTTGCATTTTTTACCAGATATGTAGATTATATGTTTTGTAGAAGTTAACAGTTTCTGTAGTTAATCCAGTGTTCCCTGTCTACATCAGTGTTGACTAACTTTAAAAATAATAATAATAATTTGATGGAAGAGTTGAATATTTTCGTAAAATCTCTCCAGTCCCAGAACAAACAGTTTTATGCTCAAAACGATGCATTGCTTCGCAAAGCAACTCCCATTCGATGATTTCAATTAATAAAATGTGTTGCCTTCGACTTTGGACAAACACAGCCTGATACCCTGTTGTATTCTTCAATTTACATGAGTTTATATCCATCCTTGAATATATCACAAAGAAATATTTGTCAATAATATATATATATATATATATATATATATATCACAGAACACACATGCATGCAATTTCAAAGACCATATGCCATCAATCTTAGATCTGAATATGATGGTTTCCAATCGAAGCCCTCGCACCGTTAATTTTAAATCTGGTCGAGAAGAATTAAATTGAAGACACCATGCTGTCGACCTTAGTCTAGCCGAGATGGTTTCAAAGTGAAGAACTCGTGCCATCAACGTTAGGTCCGGCCGAGATGATTTAAATTCAAGGCCTCGCGCTGTCGACCTTAGGCCTAGCTAGGAAGAAATTATCGGCAAGTGTCGTCCTGACCTCCTTGCAAGAAGAGGTGATGTCGGGAGGCTGCTGAAATCTCTCGAAAGACTACAAAACTTTTTTCTCTTGGAGCATTTGGAGAGCGGTGATTAATTTTCTTAATTAATTAACATGAAATTGATTAATCTAATTAAATTAAAAACCTTAATTTAAAAATCTAATTTAAGTTTTAATAAATTTAACAATTCATTTAAATCAAATGTAATTTAAAGTAAATACACGTAATCCAATAAAATAATAATTTAAATAAAATTTAAATTTTAAAAAAACCACTCAACTAATTTAAATTCTCATTTAACTAATTAAAATTAAACAACTTAATCAAATTTAATTTCATTAGTCAACCAAATTAAATTCATTAATTTAATTAATCAATTTAACATTTAATTAAATAACTAATCAAATTAAACAATTTTTATTTAATTGAATAATTTAAAATTCATTCAACCTATAATAAAATATAAGTAATTAATTTAATTAACTTAAAATTTAAAATCAACCAACCAATTTAAAAAAAAAAATCACCAACCAATCAACCAATCAATTAAAACAAAGTAAAATGCATAAAATTAATAATGTTCATACTAAAAAAACTAAAATAACTCAACCCAAACTCAACAACTCAAACACAACTCAACTCAAACTCACAACTCAAACATAACCAACAAACTCAACTGACAACTCCAAACTCGATAACTCAAACATGACCAACTCTCAAACTCTTAAAACAACAACTCAATCAACTCAACTAAACATTGAAACTCTCAAATACCACTGCTCTCCAAACCCTATACAAAGAACTCTCAAACTCTGTTCTTCATAAACACGGCAAATCCTCTATTGAATCAACATGAGCTCCTGCAAACAATTAAATAAAATTCATTTGCATTGAAATAAAAAATGCTAAAGTAGGAAACAAAACAAGTGCTGCACTAAGTTACATACAAAAAGTAGAACAAGTAGAATAGGCTATTGGTAAAGTAACTACTAGTACAGTCTACAACACTGAAAAAAAGAACAAAATACTGTAGCAAAAATACTAGTATCGCACAACAACAACTGGTAGCTAGTAATTGTGAAGCTAGTAAACAACTGAAAACTACAATCTGGTGTCAAGCTAACAAACAACAGCTGTTCACTCAAATAAACAAATAATTTGACCTTTCGTCATTCTAGTCTAAACGATTATGTTATAAGACTCACTATTGGGCCACTTCTATAAGACCCACGTTTTAAGAAAATTGCTAAATAAATTGTAATAACCCTAAAATCTAAACTGTCAAATTCAAATTCATAAGCATCTTAGTCTAAAGGATTAAGTTGTAAAATCCATTTTCAAGCAACTTCCTAAGGGAAGTCATAAGACTTATCTCAATCCAAACAAAAATTAATAGGCATCTTAGCCTATAGGGCTATGTTGTAAGACCCGCCATTGGGCTACTTCCAAAGGGGAGCAGTAAAATATGTCCTACCCAATAACTATGCAACTTCTAAAGGGAGTCGTGAGACCTATTATTTAAAAAATTTCTAAATGAAATATCAAACACTCAAATAAAAATTAACGAGCATCTTAATCTAAAAGATCAGGTTGTAAGACCCATTTTTTAGACAACTTTTAAAGGGAAGCTGTAAGACTTACTGATGATGACATCGACACACGCTACCGACATGTTTATCGCCTGCGAAACCGCAGATCGACGACCACGATTCAGCGCCTCTACTTTTGATTTAGATGTTATGATGTATTTTTATTATTATATTGTTTTATTTACTGTCTTTCCTTTTTTACCCCTATGGGGAGTTATTTTGTCATTGTAGCCTAGAGGGAAATTTGGTATTTGTATGAGTTGAGACCTATATATAGTGGTCTCATGTATTGTTTTGAGGTTAATGAATTATTGAATGAAAATTTGATTTTGTTTCTTCTTACTCGTCTTGCATGAGAGCTAGAGAGAAGTGAGAGAGAAAGCCCAAGGTGAAGGAAAAAGCAATACCCACCAGTCATTGGAAGAGTTTGTGGCTCGTGGTTTATCCCCTTCATCCCGCTCTTCTTCCTTCTCCCCAAACCCGCCGGCCCTAGGCCTCTCTTAGCCGCCGGCCACCCCACCTTCCACCACCCGCCGGTAAGCTTCAACCGTCGGCCTCATCCCCCATCCACCACGAATCCCAATTTTGAAAATTCAAAATTTGAATTTCAAAAACTTTCCAATTTTGGAAATTCCAAATTATTAAAGTTTTAAATCCGTTTTCATGACGATATTCAAATTCAAACGGATTTCATCCTAATCTTTCTTAAACCTCATGTGCCAATTTGGAAACTAATTACTTGCTCCCACACCAAATCCCTCCCCCTTGAAGCCGCCGTCCACCATGTATGGGCCCTCATTCATGCCACCAATTAAGGCATTGATTAACCCATTAATTTGAAATCAATTTCAAATTAATCCTCCCCTATTTTCGTTCAAAATCTGAATTAAATTTCAGATTTTTGAAATCACCCTCTCCCTCTCTCTCTCTTGAGCCGCCGGCCTCCTTAATGGGCCACATTAATGCCCATTAAGTTCCCCTTAATTCTATTGATAATTTGAAATCAATTTCAAATTTGCTTCCCTCCAATTTACTCAAATTCTGAAATTAATTTCAGATTTGTGTAACTCTCCTCTTCCCCTTTCCTAACCTAATTTTCCTCATCCCATCCACCCGCCCCCTTCCTTCTCTGTTTTGGCCGACCACCTCCTCACTCCCTCTCTTGGGAAATTTCAGCAAGGCAAGGAGAAGACGACACCTCTCTCCCCGATTCTCTACAATGTTGAATGGCGGATCCCGAGTTTGAGTGGGGATTAGTATTCGACGCCGACGGAAGCATCAATATCTTCCGATCTCCGTGCTTTGACGTAGGATTTGAAGACGACGCCACAGTTGACGAATATTTGGAGCGAGTCGTCCCGATTCTAGTGAGCATCATCGATCGACGATTCTCCAACTACGATTGGAGCCTCGTAAGCCGCCCACTACATCCTTCCCCACCGGCTACCTCTCCACCAACGAAGTTCTTCGGCATCTTCTCCCTAGTGGTAATACCTTTCATCGTATGGTTACTCTGTCTCCGCTAAAAGCCTACTAATATTTGAGTGAAACGGCCCCGAGGTGAACCTCTCATTGTTAAACGTTGGGTTTTGTTAATTGTACTTTGCATTCACATCTTCTTGAATTTTGAATGAATTGTTTTGGTTAATCTCTATTGCATATTTTTGGGCCTAAGCAAGTTAAAACTTTCGAATTCTTAACTTACTTTTATGTGATAGTTGTAAATTTAAAACGAGCAAAGCTTTAATCTTTTGCCTTTTAATTTCTCAAAGTAACTCCTAGTGGTTTTACATCACTTACCCAAATAATTAAGCCCTTGGATAGTCTTGTTGTAGAGCTAGGTTGTAAGACCCATCTATGGGTAACTCATAAGTTGAGTCGTAGGTCTCACTCCAAATTAAACCTACAGGTAGCTTCTTAGGGAGACATAAGACCTTCCAATCAAATTCAAAATTAACGGACAATTTAGCTATATGGCTAAACTATAAGAGCCATCAATGGGCTACTTCTAATAGAAGTAGTAAGACCCGCCTTACGGGCTACTTTGAATGAAAGATATAAGTCTTGACCTAAATTCAAATACCAGGGCTACTTCTAATAGGAGTCATAATACCCGCTTCAATTTAAACATTTGGGTAACTTATAATAGAGTTATAAATCACAAACTAAATTTACTTATGGGTATTCTAATAGATGTAAACCACAAAACTCCCAATAAAATTAAAATTTATAATTAATTTCAGTGTACTCAAGTTCCCTGAGAGGTGGCAACCCATGGATGTTAATCAGATTCCTTGGACATTATGGTCAATGATTGTTAGTCTTGGTAGACTAAAACCTACGATATACCCGAGATGACGGAATCATGGGATCTTGATTTGGTTTACCTCCATTTCTCTTATCATTGAAACTAAAAACACCTAAAATTTATTTATCCTTAATCGAGAGTTCTCTCTTATGTGTAAGAGGGGTAATTAAATATGAGTGCTTGAGCTTATGGGAAATAAGGACCCAGATCTATTTAAACCCCGACACTACCCACAGGAAAAATTTGGTTAATTATAATCTGACTTAAGCGAAATGGAATCCTACGGCTACAAAGTGGGATTCGTGCCGACGTGCCATTTTTCTTGAGCCAACAGTCAGTAGTCATCTTAATCTTGCTAGTTTCTGCAGCCGTTGAATATCTTTTTAGATACTCTATTCGGTGAATGCTCAACCCTTTGAAATCTTGTGGGCAGGCAAATATGTCTGAATTGCAGTGTGCTTATAATTTTCACTAATGGTTAAGCAATTCAACCGTATTATCCAAGTTTAGTGTCTGAGTGAGCAAGATTTTCTTGAAAAGGCGTTGTTTTGTTTATCCATCTTTATCTCATATTGTTGTAAACTTTGTAAGTTTCGTGGGTTTTAGTTACCTTGGGCCTTATTCGCTTGTGTTTTTGTTGTGAACTGTGCAAGTTTCGTGGGTTTTAGTTACATAGTGCCTTATTCGCTAGTGTTTTTCTTCTTATTGCTTTTGAAAAGTCTAGCATATCAAAATTTTAGTTTGTGTGGGAAAGCTGTGGCGGGAGACTTACACTTTTATGTTCACCTCTTCCATGGCTTGACAATTATGGACAAGCACTTGCAGAACAACTATTCCGTCTTTGAGTGGTGTGGTGACATTATTTTGTACAAAACAGAATAATATAAAAGCAGAACAACACTAACAAGTGAGGCTTTTAGTGTTGTAGCTGTCAGAAGCTTTGGTAAACAATTTTATATGCTCATAGTTTCTTAATTTAAAATTTTTTTCTAGTCCTAACAAAATTTCTTACCATAGCAATCTAACTTCCTTTGTGAATCAGTAGCTTGCAGTTCACAACTCAATCACAAAGTTGATTGGGTAGAAAAAGTTCTCCTGCCTTTGTGCTATTTTTACTTCCAGTAATGATTTTTCATCTCACATCTGTGACTATTTTAGTAGCACTATAACTACTACGACATCAAACCTTTATCCCGCTATGTGGGGTTGGCAATCCATGATTATTTCAGTGCACATACATATTCAATTTTTAAATGTGTCAGCACAAAATGAATTGAGTGTAAAGTATGCAATTATTTGTTATCATTGCATATTTATATTTCATATTGTCATATCAACTTCTTTTCTTTATCTAATTTAGTCTCATCTTTGTGTTCCTCTATTATGATGAGTAAAGAAAATTAATTTAATGAGTAGACTAAAGATATAGAAAAATGCGTAGACTGAAGTTAATACTATGGATATAAGTGGCTAAAAAATATTTGCTCTTAGTATGACACTTCATGTGCGAGATTAGTAATGCTTGCCCTGAATGTTTGTTATAAGGCTAGATGATGATGATGACGACTTCCGCTTTTACAGAAAACCTATTTCTACTGATTATTCTGAGTAAAAGTTTGTTTGAGTTTTTTGCTTCAACATTTCGAAAGATATAACTAAAAGATGGATTATTCTAATGGGATGCTTTCCTGGATATACTCTTTAACTTATTCGAAGGTAAATTTGTGATGTTTCAACAATTAAAGTTTGTGAAACGATCAGTATCACTAGAAAAGAAAAATATATGTACTCAACTTGAATTCACATTCAAATTTTCAATCCAATTCTCCAATTAAGTGGTTCATTTTTTACATTGGTTTGCCATTTTACAGGTAAAGTGGGGTACAGATTTGCAAAGTGAGCATGAAAGATACATCACCGAAAATGCTTTTGGTGGTCGCCCGGTGATAATTAGAGATTATCCTAAGGTATACCTCATCTACCTTTAAGCTTTTAAACTCTTACAGAGGCAAGTTTTTAGTATGTTGTTGTTGCCTATCTTTTTTTTTTTTTTTGCCTATCCTTTTTGTTTTAGGATATCAAAGCATTTTATATGAGGCTAAATGATGACGGGAAAACAGTTGCAGCAATGGATGTGTTGGTTCCTCGGGTAAGTCAAAAGCACGGTTTTTCTCTATTGCATGTCGACAATAAAATGATTTTTTTTCTCAACTCCAAGCTTGAGTGAGAAGTCTTTTCTCATTTTCTACCTTTAAATATTCAAGCGTTCTTATTGATGAGTACTAATGGAAAAAAGGGCCACTATGGTGTTTTCCTAGCTTAAATAGTTATCACGCCTCATAGAATTTTCAAGCACCATACATATATTGGGCTAGCTGAAGATGATTTTGAGGATATACCAGTAGTAATAACTTGCTTCTGTGGATAATGGCTAAAATTTTGCATTCAGTCTTTATGTTTGTGTTTGTGTGGTTTCAAGGCCATGAGCAAATGTTGATTTGGCTGTGGTGGGGGTTGCATCGGGATTTTGAATTGGTTTCGTACTGTACCTCATTTAAAAATTATAGTTTTATGTTTCAGGTCGGAGAGCTCATTGGTGGAAGCCAAAGGGAAGAACGCCTTGAATATCTGGAAAGACGCCTCGATGAGTTGAATCTCCCGAAGGAGAGCTATTGGTGGTATCTTGATATTCGTCGTTTTGGTTCAGGTTAGGATTCTCCATTGACCCTCTCATTTCTTTCTTTGCCTGTTAGACTTCAATTTTGTTGCATTGAAAATAATCTTATAACTTCAATAAATGAAATTTATAGAAATTTTTTTACAAACATAATTATATAAGATATCATAATTCAGAGGAATATGAGAAAATTTTTTTTTCATCATGGTGTGATTTGCAAATGACATGTGATTTTTGGTTGTTTAATTTTTAATGCAAAATTTCTTAGTGTCTATCATTTTCTAGTTTTCATTAGAAGGAATGGATATTTATTAAATTAATGGTTTCATTAGAATGAGAAGACAAGGAAATAACGGGAGAAGAGTTTATCTTGAGAGGCCTGACCTTTACTTAAGACTTGCTGTGCTTGATTGTTTTCCTGTTACACTGAAATAGGCGCCTTTTAGTTAGCTGAAGCAAATAAAGGAAATAAATGATACAAAACTAGATAAAAGGAACCAAAATATGTTGTACAAAGAAGGATGACCCAGCCCTCAAGTTGAGGTCATCATGTTCAGCATAGACAAAATATTGTATAACAGATTCCACGAAAGGCCTTTGGTGATTCTATCAACAATATCATTCTTGGATTATATTTATGAAGATATTTGAATCTTGAATCTATGCTTTCTCAAATAAAATTTCGATTGCTTTTCTATATCTTATTTTATTGAGTAGAATTTTGCTCTAATTGATTACATCCAAATGGACAAATGCATAAGGTGACTCATTTTTATTCAACGAGATTTTTTTTTTTTTTTTTTTCAACGAGATTGAAAATTGGTGCTATAGTCTTCATACAAGATATGTAGCCAACCCCACATAGTGGAAGTAAGACTTATTGTTATTGTCATTGTGTACATACAAGATACAACAGTTTGTCTAGTTTGCAAAACCTAATCACAGTAGAAAAAGGACTTTCAATGGCCTAAGGAACATATTTCCAAGATAAATATGTTGCAAGGAACAAATATCCAAGTTGAGCATGTCGTTGGTTAATTTTTAATTGAGGAATAACAATTGAATTAACTCCAATATTCTCTTTAAAGTCCCAAAATGATTAGTCATGGTCATATCTCGAATCATGTTCTTTCTAAGTTACCTGAAATTTTTTTGGGCATCTTGCTTAACATTTTTTGCCGGAAAACTTCCTTTCACGAGCTATATTATTTTGAAGAAGAATCATGCTTTCCAAATGTGTGCTTCTAAACAAATCAGAGGAAGAAGAGATAATGTGAGGAGCAGGGACAATTTTGAATATCCTTACCTCTCACCTTTTTTATTGGATTTTACTAGGTTGTGATACATATTAAAATAACAAATGTGTCCTTTTTGATAGAATATGCAAACAAAAAAAATACTAATAACAAGATGGGAATTCTTATAAACCCTAAATGTCGAACAAAGAAATGAACTAGAACAATTCGATTAATTTTTTCTCCTAAAATACTTATGGAATAATGCTATACTCCCCTTGTAAATCTACAACTAAAAGGGGGCATTGAAGAATTTCCATAAAAAGATGTGTTAAATTTAGTAATCTTTAAGGATTCATGTATTTGAATCTAAGAACTTGTATCTGAGCAAAATTTCTTATATTTGAAATAAAGACTCTATATTAGATAAAATATCATCTTTGGGTCAAAAATTTATATTGCAATAAGGGCCCTTGATTTTAATAAATCTAATATGTAGTTCAAAATCCTTACAACAACAACAACAACATCAAACCTTTGTCCCATTACATAGGGTTGGCTATATGAATCTTTTTTCTCCATTGTGTTCTGTTAAAAGTCAAATTCTCATTTAAATCTAATAAAGAAATATCATTTCTAATATTTTCTAACCAAGTCTTTTTAGGCCTACCTCTACCTTTTTTAACATAAGTCAAATTTAATACCTCAACTTTCCTAACCGTGTCATCAGAAGATCTCTATTTAATGTGACCAAACCATCTAAGGCGATTCTCTCTAATCTTATCTTCCACTGGAGCTACTCCAACCTTTTCACGTATATACTCATTTCGTATCCTATCTTTAAGGGTAAAGCCACTCATCCACCTAAGCATCCTCATCTCTGCCACACTTAGTATTATGCTTCTCTTTTAATGGCCAGCCCTTTAGACACAATCCTAGCTCCGTTAGCTTCTCATCATCTTCAACCCGTTTACAGCAAAGTAACGCTTCCACTTGTATATCCAAGCCAAATGGTAACCATCTTCACCCTCAAAGATGGGCACTCTCAACTTCCTCACCTTCGAACCTTCTTGTTACCTCGGTACTGCTCCATAACCTTCACATTCCTCGAAGAGGAGGTGCTCCCCAAGTGTCCCGGTCCTCCTTCCGGCAGATGGTATCCAACATCCCGTCATCATATTCTCCTCTTCCCCTTTCAAAAATCAGCACCTCGACGCTGAATTTAGCACCTCGACAACTGATATTCTTCTCTTCTTTCGCCAAAAATCTGCAACTTCCCTCTATTATTCCCCCCCTCCTTCCTCAAAATCAACGCCTTGACGCTGAAAATCAGCCACCTCGACGCTGAAAATCAGCACGCTCGACGTCTTCCATGCTCATCCATCTCTTAGAAAGTGGCTCTAGAGGTGGCATGTCGTCCTCGTCCCCAAGGATTCTCTACCTGCCGGATTCTCCTCCAAGCGGGTTTCGAATTTCCTCCTACGCCATGGTCGCCGATAGTCTTCTTGCCTTCCGACGCTGTCGGATTAGTCTTCTCTCAAGTAATTCTTCATCATCTCTTCCCATGACCGTGAACTTCCCATCCACCTTTCATTATTGGCGTGTTTAAGAATTTCAACGAACAATTCGAATTTTCCTCCAAATCTGATTTTAATTGGCCAAAATTCGCCTTCTAGGACTTCCATCTTCTTTCCGGTCATTTTTCTTGTTCTACGAGTCCATAGAAATCTTTCTCAATGCCAAAAAACCGTGAAATTTTCAGGATTTCACCCGCCAATGGTCCCCAAATCGATGCTCTGATACCCAATTTGAATAGGAAGTACTTGAGTTCTCAAATATTTCTCCTAACCAAACCAGTGAAAATACAACAGCAAACTGGCTGTCCACAGCAGAAATCAGCAGGAAAACAGCGAAATCAGAGAAGAAAACACAAGAAAAAGACTTGTATTTCACTGCAATCAAGCAAAACAAAGAAAGATACAACGTTCTAGATCGAGAGGAAGAACCACTCTCACAAATCTCTAAGCAAACCCTAGAGCCCAAGCACCCCAAGAATCTCAAACTTCTCATTCAAATTCAACGATGCCCTCTCTTTCCCCCCTAAATCTCCTAATTATACAAATTAATCATAAAGGACAATAATGGACTCCTAAACAGCCCCTCATTCAAAATTCTCCTCCCAAAATCAGTTTCAGCAACTCGTCACAGGGGTTCCGCCCCTTTTCGCATGGCTTCCCGCCTGGAGTGAGCAACAGACCGTCCAAGAGGGACCAGTCCGCTTCGTAACAAAATACCTTATAAAATGAAGAAGCAGACAAGATAATTTTCTCAACTGAAATGCAAAACACAAATGTAACAATCACAAATGGCCCTCTAAATTTCAGAAGAATTTGTGGAGAAAAAAAATTAAAAAGATTACAAGTTGTTGGGAATCTTCATACCGCGCATTAAAATCAGCCAAGACCGAGGGCGATCCGAGGAAATGGAGTCACATCCCTAATGTTCTCCATCCCAGTGGCAAACTGTACCCAGTCGTCGAACCTAATCCAAAAGCCTGCATGAGGACTGAAGAGGGCGAAGAACATGTAGATTTAAATCAATTCAAAGGCATTCAGTGAAGCGTTCTCAAGTATAATGGAATCTCATTTTCTAATAAAGTCGCCATTTGCAAGGATTATGCATATTTGATATGGGAATTTTTTTAAAAGAGTATTATGAGTATTATACTTTATTTTCTTGAATAAGGATTTGTTTTTGGGTTGCTGCCAGGCTTTTTGTAACATTAGTTATAGAGAAGCGGCGGCGAAAAAATAACTTTTTTTTTTAATTTATTGTGAGTAATTATAAAATAATAGAAAAACACACTAGCATATCAGGTTTGTTTTTTAAGAACTCCCATCATAGTGAATATTTGAAAATTACAAACATAAAGCGCAATAGAGGTATGATATTAAGTCTGAAAAAACAAAATGGTGAAAAGCTAACCAACAAATACTAAGGTTCCGCTATGGAACAGCTTTCTAAAATGACATTTTAGTACAATTTTTTTTGAACTATTAAAAATTTTATTACTTTCAAGAATTTGCACTAGAAAATTGTTTTCAAAAAAACAGTAAGGAATGTTATCCCAAACGAAGCCTAAGTCGGACGTTCAACTTTCTTCCAGCTAACACATTGCCATCTCGTGTAAAATAGCTGTTTTTCGACCACAAAAAAATTTCTAAAAAAATGTGACCCAATAATAATAATAATAATAAAGCCAGATAACACTAACAGCTTTCTCCTAAAAAACAAGATCATGAAAAACCATCTAAATGAACCCTAAAAGCCATCAAATAAGCCATCTGGAATAGTGCTAAGAATTCCAAAGTTAAAATGATCATATATCACCCTAAAAAAAAAAGGGATGCCATAATGAGATAGATCTTGAGCACTAATGTTTCAAGAATCAACTGCATTTGTCATGATAAAATGGTTAAATTGTTCAATATCTATAGAAACTACACATGAAACATTGGTTTACATGGATACCCAAATGTACAGAAACTCTGCATCGCCCATCAAACCAAAGTGAGCTGTTTTATTGATGTTCTTATTGTCTTAATTGCTGTGACCAGACAATGTTACGGTTCTTCCTCATAGAAGCCAGTATCTTGTAGGTATGTTCGCGGGCATAACTTTGATATGATGGAGCCAGTTCAACTCCAAAGTAAAACACCAAAACTTCCCTAAAGGATTCATATGGTTTGATGTAAATAGAAAAACATCTTTAGAAAGATCTAAGATTTCCTTTTC